GGATAGAACAGGTGGAATTTACGCAGCTCATTTACACACTTTTCCTGAAGATAGAAGAGTTTGTTGAATCTGACGTGACATGTTCGTACGAACCCTTCGTACGAACAAAAGTCAGAGAAATTTAGGATAAGAATACGAACATGTTCTTGTATGACGCCCAACAGTGATTTTAAAAAAACTGTAAAACTCTGCTGTTAAATGCGATGTGTTTGAAAATTTGGGTGCACCTAACCTTTGTACTGATGTGTCTAAAAAATGTTAGGAGCATCGGTGCAACCAGTGCAAAACATTATTCTAGAGCCCTGAAAATGCTTATAAAGTCTTCAAATACATAATTCAAACATTAGTGCACTCAAAGTCTAAACCAGAAAGTCCTTTACAATATGAATATTGTGCACACTGATATTGCATGATGATATATTTGTAATATACATTCTGCAGCCCTATTCTTCTAGCTATTTTCTGCAGCTAAATTCACCTTTTTGTGATAATTTCATCTAATTGGTGCTTAATTCATCAAACGAGCCCTTTATCCCTCTTTGTGCTATGTTCAGCATTTTTGGGTTACTTTTTAGCTACTTCTCAGCTAATTTCAGCTTTTTGGGCCATTTTACAATAAATTGCAATATTTTTGTACATCTTTTCTTCTGCAAACATCTTTCAGCTTTAATAACTCGCTGCATTTTTACAGAAAATGCAAATTGTCTCATTTTAAGTATTTTTTGAAGTTGGATGCTCATTTTGCCTTTTTCTTTATCAAACTTTAGCCCCGGTGTTTACCTAACATGAAGGACATGCTGAACAAAAATAAATCTACGAATGAAGTGTTCAGATCCAGTGTTTGTATAAAAGACGGTGGGTCGACACTTTTCGGTGTTCAGAGTTTTGTCTGTTTCATCTTGAATCATGACAGAGCTCCCAGCAAACAATAAGTGAACAGTAACAGCACCTGCTTCTTTGGCCATATCAGGATAGTCGAAGTCCTTTCTGGATCCAGGCTTCTCAAACTGCAGCAAAACACAAAGAAGTCAAACAGATTAGTTTCTACTGATGGTCACATTAAAACAGAATGATACGGTCATTATAGTGTCTGAAGTCCAGTTTATATCACATTGTTTTTATTTATTTTTACTATTATTATTTATAAAGTTTATTCATTTTAAACAAAACAACATAAATTCAACAAACAATAAAAATACAAATCATAAATTAAATGAA